TAGACCCAGCTTAGCCCTTTCCAGATCTAAGCGCTTCAGCTCTAACTCTGTGTCCAAGCGTTTCACCTCCATTTCCATCTCCAAGCGTTTTGCCTGTTTCCTCTCCTCTGCTTCCAACTCCAAGCGCTTTAAGGCCATCTGTCTTTCATGTTCTTTCTGTCTCCCTCAGCTTCCAATCTGGCTAATTCTAGTTTCTTTTGGACTTCATTTCCATCATCCAAGCCTTCCTGCGCTTAGCCTAGCCTAACCCGAGAGCTAGAAAGAAACAAAAAAAACCAGCTTGTGAATTCCCTTGCAGGAACTTAACTACTCTGCCCTCAGGCAGAGAAGAAAAAAAAGTCCAGCTGCTCTCAGCTAAAAAAAAAAGTGTCGTTTTGAAAAAAAACCTCTTTGGTTTTCAAGCCCAAAGTAAAAAAATTGTCCTTTTAATATCCTGAGGTCTGTGCTTCTGGTTCAAAATGAACCCACCACGCTGCCGCCATATCAAGGTTCCCTCCCCACTCTGAACTCTGGGGTACAGATGTGGGGACCCGCATAAAAGACCCCCTATGCTTATTTCTACCAGCTTAGGTTAAAACTTCCCCAAGGCACAAATCCTTTCCTTGTCCTTGGACAGTATTGCTGCCACCACCAAGTGATTTAGACAAAGATTCAGGAAAAGAACCACTTGGAGTTCCTATTTCCCCAAAATATACCTCCAAGCCCCTTTACCCCCTTTCCTGGGGAGGCTTGAGAATAATATACCAACCAATTGCCTTTAATAAAAGTACAGACCAGACCCTTTATTTTTAGGACACTAAAAATCAATCAGGTTCTTAAAAGAAGAACTTTATTATAAAGAAGAAAGTAAAAGAAGCACCTCTGTAAAATCAGGATGGAAGGTAATTTTACAGGGTGATAAAAAGATTTAAAACACAGAGGATTTCCCTCTAGGCTCAACTTTAAAGTTACAAAAACAGAAATAAACATCCCTCTTAGCATAGGGAAAATTCACAAGCTAAAACAAAAGATAATCTAATGCATTTCCTTGCCTTTACTTACAATCTCTGTAAGTTTAGATGTATCATTTTAAGGTATGTTTTCAAGAGATGGGTTACCTGTTTGGTCTCTCTCTCTCTCTCTATCCAGAGGGAACCAACAGAGAGCACAAACAACCACCCCCCAATTTAAAAGTATCTTCTTGTCCCATTGGTCCTTCTGGTCAGGTGCCTACTAGGTTAATTGAACTGATTAACCCCCTTATAGGCAGTGATGAGCTCCCAAAATCCTAAGAACTGATTCCTTACCGGGTCCTCAGCGGCACTTCGGCAGCGGGGGGGGGGGGGTCTTCACTCACTCCGGGTTGTCGGCGGCAGGTACTTCACCCGGAGCGAGTGAAGCCCCCCCCCCCGCCGCCAAAGTGCCGCTGAAGACCCGGTAGGGAACCGCGCGGTGAGTACAAGCCCCACGTGCCTGTCTCCCCCCTGCCACCCACCCATCCAACCCCAACGCACGTCCTGCCCCCGACTGCCCCCCTCAGAACCCGCAACCCATCAACCCCCTCCCCCGCTCCTTGTCCCCTGACCACCCCCTCCCAAGACCCCCCACCCTAACTGCCCCCCAGGACCCCACCCCCTACCCAACTCGCCCCGCTCCCTGTCCCCTGACTGCCCCGACCCCATCCACCACCACCCCGACAGACCCCCGGAACTCCCATGCCTACCCAACCCCCCCCGCTCCCCGTCCCCTGACCGCCCCCCCCCCCGAGCCTCTGTCCCCTCCAACCGCTCCCTGCCCCTTATCCAACCCCTCCTCCCAGCCCCGGCCTGCCCCCCTTACCATGCTGCTGTATAAGGATGCTGTGCGGCCGCTGGAGCTTGCAGCCCCACCCCCTTACCATGCCGCTCAAAGCGGCAGGAGCTGCAGAGCTTCCCAGAGCGCTTGTGCCGGCAGCGCGGTGCACTGGGGCTCTGCGGGGGGGAAGGGAAGCGGGGGAGGGGCCGGGGGAGCCTCCCCAGCTGGGAGCTCAGACGGGCTGGGCAGGATGGTTCCGCGGGCTGGATGTGGCCTGCGGACCGGAGTTTGCTCACCCACCCGCCCCTTTAGGAACCGGTTCTACACCGGCTTCTAAATTTAACAACGGGTTCTTGCGAACCGGTGTGAACCGGCTCCAGCTCACCACTGCTTACAGGTAAAATGATTCTGTACCTCTGGCCAGGAGGGATTTGATGTTACTGCAGACATAAAGGTTGTTCCCCTTCCCTTTATATTTATGACAACAATCAACTGTCCTAGTTGATGGGAGCCATCAAGATTCCAAACCACCATTAATGGCCCACACTTTGCATAATTACAATAGGCCCTCAGAGTTATATTTCATATTTCTAGTTTCAGATACCGGAATGATACATTTATACAAATAGGATGAACACACTCAGTAGATTATAAGCTTTGTAATGATACCTTACAAGAGACCTTTTGCATGAAGCATATTCCAGTTATATTCACACTTATTAGCATATTTTCATAAAAGCATATGGAGTGCAATGTCACAGGCTGGCCTGGTGGCCCAGCCATCTTTGCAGAGGGCTCAATGCTCCCTGTGACAGAGCTGCCTGCATGTGGCTGGTGTGCTGAGTTTGCTGATCAGTTTTGCTGTCTGGGTTTCAACTGTGGGGGCTCCGGCTCCTGCCCACAGGGCCAGCTCCAGGCACCAGCTTAACAAGCAGGTGCTTGGGGCGGCCAAGGGAGAGGGGCGGCACCTGCGGTAATTCGGGGGCGGCAGGTCCCTCACTCCCTCTAGGAGCGAAGGACCTGCCGCTGAACTGCCGCCACCGATCGCGGCTTTTTTTTTTTTTTTTCCTTGGGGTGGCAGAAATGCTGGAGCCGGCCCTGCCTGCCCACCTGGCCCAGGGGGCGCACCCAAGTTCCCAGCAGCGCTGTGTCACACGGGGCACAGACGGACTCGCCTGGCCCTGCTAACCTGGCCTGGATGGGTGGGGTAGAGAAGTGTGTCCAACTGCTCCCCAGGGACCTAAGGGGTATGTCAGCTCTCAGGGGAGCCTTAAATCCATAGAGAACAAGGGTGACTCTGGATCTGGCCCGCAGGCCTTGGCCTGCACTAAGCAGGTTGATGGGAGCTGCACCGTCTCCTGCATGCCCCCTGGCATGGGGACAGACCTAGCCAAGGAGGAGAGAGGGGACGTGACTGCAGACTAGCGGTGAGGTGCATAGTGTCTACCCCTGACTCTCGGGCACATCCGCAGCTCCCCGTATTAGCCAGCAGGGAGCACTAATACGCAGGACTCCCATTGTCTCCCCCTCCCCACGTCTGTCTCTCTCCCAGCCTGGCTGGCAAGCACCTGCCTGAGTCAGCCTCTTGCATGGCACTGGCACCCCACCGGTCTGGTGCCTGCATGTGGCACTCACCACGGTCCATGCTGAAGCACAGCATTGGAGCTGGGGCAGAGCCTGGCAGTGGGCCACGCTGGCACCCATCTCACCCTGCTGCAGCAAAAGCTCCTCCAGGCAAATGCCCCTTCCTGAGGACTCAGCCATGGCACCTGCCTCCAGGCAGGCCCTTCACGCACAGGAAGGGTGCTGAGCTGGCCTGGCCCAGCACAAGGATTGCAGCCCCTTGGGCAGTGGGGTCACTCCTACACAGGGGGATCGGGGCACTGGGAAGTTATGGCTGCAGGGTTGAAAGGGACTGATGGAATTGGGTGCCCAATGCCCAGGGGATCTCCACACCTTTGAAAACACCAGCCTAGGTGACTTGTTCAAGGTCACACAGGAAGGCCGAGTTGGGAATAGAACTCAGGAGTCCTGGCTGCCCTAGACCCTACTCCCTTCCTGTTCGGAAGGTGTCCTGGCTGCCAGTGCCGCTTTGAGCACTAGACACGATCCCTTCCAGAGCCAAGAGTGGAACCCAGGAGTCCTGGTGCCAGTCCTTGCTCTCAGCACTAGCCACGTTGGCTTTTGGGTTCCTTTGTTTGGTGGGACAGGAGAGTGAAACGTGTCCCAGGCTTTCCTGCGCATCCCCCCAAGGAAGTACAGGTGAACTGAAGTGTGCAGTGCTCCTTTCCGCTAGTTACAGCCCCAGGCCAGGAGCCGGATGTGCTGTCCGCCCCCAGCTCCTCTCTGCTCCGGTCCCAGCACTGAGCTAGCCACTGCCAGCCCACCCCAAACCAGCTGGGAGGTGTCGAGGAAATGCAGGCGCCCTAGGGCGGGGCTGGGAGGAGCTGCTCAGATGGGGCCGGCATTGGGCCAGGAGCTTGGTACAAACTGGCAAACAGCACCGGGAAGCCTGCAACGGGGAGTGGGCCGCTTTACTGTGCCCCCACAGCTGGGCATTGCCCCTCCAGTCTGCTCATGCTCTCTGTGTTGGGGGGGGGGCAGCGTGTGGGGCCATCAGTACGGGGGCTGTTGGCCTCGGCTGTCCCCCAACCACTAGGAGTTCACTGTTCCCAAGGCAAGAAGTCACTGTGTGGAGTTCCCTGCCACTGGGCTCATAGGCCACGTCCAGTGAGTGGATCGTCCTACAGCCATTCACGTAGGCTGGTGGCTGGTTATCAATTCTCGTGCCATAGGACAGCAGCTGGTTGCTGCAGGGGTCAGGCAGGAACCCCCAGCCCCACCATGGGCACCCCTTGCTACGTACATTAGTGGGAAGGGGGCTTTTGCCTCCTTCTGGAGCATCAAGAGTTCTCCGTTGCCGGGGTCTGGCTCGTGGTCCAGGCCCACCCAGCACAGCCCATGCTCAAGGTGACAGGCCCAGCACATGCCGCCACACACTGCCGTTTGTCCGGGGGAGCTGGTGCTGGGGGATGGGGTTTGTCTCAGGCTCTGCTTCCCACAACCCCCTCCTTGGTCCCTGGAGCGTGTCCCGATGTCTCTCCCCTCCAGCCTGCTGCAGCTCTGTGCTTGGGCCCAGGGATGGCCAGCGGCTGTGGGCTGGTGGCCCTGAGCACAGTGCGGAAGCAGCGCAGGCAGCGAGTGATGGCGAATGAATTCCCTTCCAGCGCGTGATCCGCAGCCGCAGCCAGTCCATGGATGCCATGGGCCTCAGCAGCAAGAAGCAGAACACGGTGTCCACCAGCCACAGCGGCAGCTTCGGCCACAACAACCCAGACATGGCCAAAACCGCGGGCATAGTGAGTGTGACCATCCCCGCATCCCTGCTGGGCCTGCTTCTGCTCTGAGCCCCGCCCCCTGCTCTGAGCCCCACCTCCTGCTCTGAACCCCACCTGTCTGACCCCATCCTGCCCTGAGACCAGCCCCCTGCTCTGAGCCCCGCCTCCTGC